TTTTTTTTAAGTCTGTTATTTTAATAGACTCAGATTTTGGATTCTGACATCTGGATAGAATCTTCTAGCAGTTGCTCACTGTATAACCTTGAACAAAACAAATTCAGCCTCCGTTATCTCATCAGAAAAAAGATCACAGTAATTTATCCATAAATTAGATAGTTATGAAGAGTGAGATTTCTGAATAGAGCTAGCTGACCATGGTGCCTGGTTCATATGTTAAGAGCTTAATAGACACCTGTTCTTACTATTAACCATAAAATTCCCGAGATTTAGGTAAATATTATGGAACTCTGGTGGTGTAGTTCTTAGCGAGTTCTGCTAAGCCCAAACATCTTGTGTTACCTGCAGTTTGAAAACAGCATTGGCTCTTTGTGGGGGGGAAAGAGGGGCAGTCTCTGTTAAGAGTTAGCAGCGTCAGAAACACACTGGAGGACCACAAGAATTCAGAATCCATCCACCACAGGAAGTTTGAGCTAAGTATTACTATCTTTTTTTTTGGGGGGGGGTGGTTTGCAATTATTTTTTCTTTATTAATTTTAATGAAACTTTACAGAGACTTGGGGTTTCTAATCATTCATTGTTGCACTTTTCTCCCTGCCCAACCCCCGGCCCAGTTCATTCTTCACTTTGAAAAGTCAAACAAAAATCCTTTCATTGCTATACCATCCCTCCTCCCAAGTCCACTCCATGGTGCAGCCTTTGTTCTAGACTCCCGTCATGATAATAATACCCAATCATATATCCCTCCCCAACAGTTCTCTCCCTCATCTGTTTCAATGCCGTGTACATCATTCTTCCCCTGAGGAACATGAGGTACAGTAGCAAATGACTTTTTAAAACTATAGAATGAGCAAGATTTAAATTCAACTTCTTCCACAACTCACAAATGGTAATGAAGTGGTTTTAACAAGCACCCCCTCTCTCCTCTATGTTTAAACCTCAAACAGGACCTGGCATTGACTTACAAGCATCAAAATGCGAGAGATACTGACATTTCTGACATTGAATTTTCAGTTTTGAACCTACAAAGGGAGCCACTGCTCCAGCCGAATTTTGAAAAGACACAAGAAAACGGTGAAGTGAACTCCCTCTTTGCTTTTGCCAACTTCTGCTTATCTTTGGGGTTCACATTGAGTTTGGAACAAACAGATGAAGTGCTGGCAACAAACTAAAGGATGGAAAGTCTTACTTGTGGGGTTGTTCAGAATGTTATGTATTTTTTCTTTTCTTACTAGGTACATATCTCATCACTGATGAAGCAACAAGGCTCTGCTCTTTAGTATTCTAAGATAACTAAGAGCAGTAACAATTCTACCAAACAAGGGGATAATAATGCTTTCCTTTAGGAGTTATTACAAAGCAAATGTACAACAGATGATGATACTTCCACATATAGCTACAAAATATATGTGTTACATAATTTCTAAAACATACGCTTGAAAAGATCCTAGGAGGAAAAACATGGAAAATATGAAACAAATCAACAAGATTTGTCTATATCTCCAGTATACATTTTCCTTTAAAAAGAAACTCAGCAAGCATAGAAATTCTAATTGTTAAACTAATTCTAAGTAGACTAAAAAGAGACACAAAGGAATCATATGTAAGACCTGTTTTTAACGGAAAGTATAGCTCTAAAGAGATCATCGGGTGTGAAGAAGACTCATTCATCTGGCCATCCGCCAAAGCACCAGGTTTAGAGGAAACGCTGGGTGTACCCTGGAACTCAGAAAGCCGAGAATTCACATGGAAATTCCTGACATATTGACGTAATTTTTTCTTCTTTTTCTGAAAATCTGGAGACAGGAATTGCCAGGCACGCAGACCTGGGTCTCCTGATAGATGGAATCCAAGCATAACACTCGTGCTATTATCATGGAAAATGTTCTTTTTGAAAGAATCTGTAGTTGCCATGAACAATGCAACCTCCTTAGGTTTCTCCAATTGAAAAGCAAGATTGAGATTACAAAAGACCCTATAAAAATTGTGATGTGCCCAACAGCGGGAAAGAAATGTGCGGAGTGATGTAAAACTCATAACCAGTGAAACCAAACCTACAGTGCAAAGGCAAGAAAACAAATACACAAATAACAATCTAACTTATTGATTATATACTGGCTCTGGGGGCATAGTGCATAGTCTGTTAGGCTGATAACCAGAAAAGTGGCTGTTCTAATCCACTAGCAGGTGCATGGGAGAAAGTCTCCTCTCACAAAGTTCTACAGCCTGAGAAATCTAATGTCACCATGAATTAAAGCACATTCAATGGCTCTGAGTTTCATTATTTTGTTTTCTGGGCCTTTTTGTTCAGACTATCTATATAAGGAACCCTGGTGGCCTACTGGTAAAATGTTGTGCTGCCAACCCAAAGACACATGGATCAAATCCACCAACTGCTCTGTAGGAAAAAGATGGGAATTCTCTTCTATGACTTACTGCCTCTGAAAACCTGCTGGAGGGTGAGCTGTGAGTCAGTTCTGACTCAACAGTACACAACAACAACAACAACTATATGTATGATCTGAAAATTGGACTGTGACTAAGGAGGACCAAAATCAATACCTTTGCATTGTAATGTTGGGGGGGGAAAGAGCTCTGAGTATCCCATGGATGGCCAAATGGCAAG